CGGGGACAGGCACGGCGCGTCCCGCAGCGCCCGCGGGCCGCAGCAGCAGCCACTAGAGGGAAGCAGCCGCTCACGCTGCCGGCACAGCCCCGGGGCAGGCACAGCCCCACCACAACCCGGCCAGGTAAGCACCAAAGACACTCCACTGCACATTGCTTCGGAGTTTCCAAGCCCAAAATGCCTCTACTCATCACGAAATAGGGTTTGATTTCACACTGTACTACCATCAACTTACCAGCGGTTCTATTGTACCGAGGTCTTTTATTTTGTTGCCGCTTAGATTTAGATGCGTGAGGTTCGGACACTTTTCTGCCAACACTTCCAGTCCTCCTGAGATTCTGTTGTCACTTAGCTCGAGCTAAAAGGCACATGAACATCTTGAGGTTTTAGTGCAAACATGTATCACAAAGCCGTCTGGTCAGCTAAATTACGTTTTTATACCAACGTCTATTTTACACATAGAATTGTAGAGTATGTCAAGTTGGAAGGGACCCATAAGGATCATCGAGTCCAACTCCCAACATGCGGTAGAGTGCAAAGAGGGAAGGATACGGCATAGGATATTTTACTTACCTTCTTAAGTTTGTTTAACTTTGGTAAGTTTGCAACTGAGGTTAAGCCTACATTGATTGTACTTAAGAATTCCAGCTCTTCAAACTCATCTGTAAGGCCTTCGATTTTGCCTTCGTATGACCTACAGTTGTCAAGAACGAGTTCTTTAACCTGGAAAAAAAAACAAGGCAAAATGTGTGTAAGACATTCTGTGTGGAGGGTAAAGATTTCACTCACAAACAAAGGATGGCACAGATCAGGCAAAAATGAAAGGTATTCCAGTAAATTGGCAAATATGCCAAGGGTTATTTTCAGTCTCTGATCCCCACTTTTGCTGGCATGCCAGGTTACCAATGTTTCAACACCACAGATATTTGGCTTTGCTTCAACTGCTCACCTTTGTGTTGTTCTGTAAGCGGTGTAAACAGTTCAAAAACATGAATCCTGGCCTAACCCATTTGGTTGTTAGAAGTACCGTTGTTTTGGGTACTTGCAAGCAAGAAGCATTTTAAAAAATACAAAACCAATCTATTTAAATGAACCTACAACTTTGGCGCTCCATACAACTCATGCTATTTCAACATATCATCAGTTGTTAAAATAGCTTTGTTCTGCATGCAAAAATTACTCGAGCTTTTCAAGCGTAGAGAGATCACTGCCTGCTCAGACACTCCTGAAACCCAACAGCAGGCACTGGTAATCCTAAACCAGGTCTTGCTGGAGTCTACCGTCACCTTTCTCATTACAGGAGCTTGATGGTACTTTAGGGGAAGATCTTCTCCACGGAGGCAACTCCTTGCTTGGGGAATTACAAGGGATGTGTCAGACGATGGTGGCAAGGGAGGTTCAGCGAGCACAGCCGCTCCTGCAGCAGCGTATCCCTTATCTCCCCTGCCCTGTTGCAGCAGGGAGGCTCGAAGGGAGAGCTGAAGATAACGTCCCCATGGGCCTGAGCCGCACAGGACCTGCCTGACAGGCCAAAGCCGGGTGGCCTCAGGGGTGTGTACAGCAAGTTACAGGCTGCAGGGGTTTTTTTTTTCTTCCCCCCCGCCCCCGACTCCCTGCTCTTTTTGCAGGTGCTATCTTCAGCAGACACAAAACGACAGCATTAATGCAGAAGAGTCCCTAAATACACCCCACCCTGAATAAAACTGCTCCTTTTCACCCTAAAGCCATGTCAGCCTTACAGGATTCAAGTCCCTTAGCAGCCAACATGAGTTTTCCTGGGCTCAAGGGAAGCTCTGCAACTGAGGACTCTGACTCCACAGGAAGGGCCCACACACTCGGGGAACATCCAGACATTTTCACACCAATGGAGAACTTCCGGGGGTTATTTCTCCCCTACAAAATACCCAGGAAAACCCATGGTTCTGCATGCACTGCAGACCCCATTCCGTGCCTGAGGTTTGTTTACAGGTTTGGAAAGGGAACGGGTGCTACTTTACACCGAGGATGGGATAAAATACGTCTGCAAGAGTGGCGTATGCAGAAACATGAAGCAACTCTTCAGTTCACACCAAGGACAGTTAATGTGCAAACATTTAATTTTCTTAATTTTTTTATTACTGTAATCCCACTGCACAAAGAAGATTCCTATGTAGTTTTATAGCTCCAAATAACATCCCAAGATTTCTAATTAAATCCCAGGCACTGGAGTCAATAGGGAAGTCAGCCCAAAGCAACACGAGAGTACAAGTGATTCATTGAGAGTAGGAGGATCAGCATTAGACAGGAAATACATTTTTCCAAGACTCTACAATTTTCCTAGAAGAATTATGATAGGGAATGACTACACAAAAGTCTTCCAGAAGAATTTTAGGCTGGTTAGGAAGAAACCAAAGATGAAGTCAAATGCTCCTGATCCCACATACATGTATTCCACTTGGGGGGGGACCCCAAACCCCCAAAACAAACTACAAAAACTCCTTTTTGCTTTGAGATTTGGACAGCAGAAAAGTAATTTTAAAGGCAAACATACGTATCATCTTACTCTAATAGTATTTAAGTATCAGAATCCTCCAGTGAGATCAATTTGGGGACAAATCCAGAGTTTTCTCAGTCATCTGCTTCACACACACACAGAGCTCCCGCCAAAAAATAAAGGACAAAAAAAAAAAAGTAAAATAAAAGCAGCTCCACCCCAAACCCAGACCATACGGCAGCTACATTTCTCTCTATCTGCATCCTTGCTCACCAGCACACGAGGCCCCTGCCGGCCCCGTTATCTCCCTTGGCCAGCGAGGTGGCTCATCTGAGACAGCACCCACCTACGGACATGTTTCGGAGCAAGGACAGCGAAGGAGAGTGCCACGGTGCCAACCGCACTACATTGGTACCTGGCTGGAGAGCCCGGAGGTCTTTTTTTGCCTTATCCTCTTTGCAAAGAAGTTTACAAGAGCACACATAAGAAGCTGAAGTAAGGCCGGAGGGAGTTCAGGGAGGGAAAACGCTCACAGCCGCAGCAACCAGCACGGTTTGGAGTCAGCTCGGGCTTTGAGCTATGCAGCACACTAAGCACAGAGTGAAGCAGCACCTAAACCTTACACCAAGAACAAACTGACATCTGCCCTCATCCCAGGACGTGGGACATCCATCCCGCTATCTTCCCCAAGAGCCAGATGGAGACAAGGCAAATGGGGAACTGGACGCAGCTTCCTCGGGGGTAGAGGAGAGATTTGAGGCAAGGCTGGAAATAGCCATGGATGCAGAAGAAAAACCCTTTCATACGGTGGCAGAGGAGCCAAGTGGCTTCTACTTTTGGGTTGCTCGTTTTAGAGCAGGACTGCTGTTTCCTCTCTACCTTTCAGAAAACTTTGTTTGATACAGAACTGCAGTGCTCTCTTCTTCGTTGCAGCCAATACTGATATACTGGGAAAAGGTACAGTCAAAACAGCTCCAGAGGGAAGCTATCATGGAATAAAACCGGCCAGGTTTGCAAGTGGTTGAAAGCCTGGTCGAATCAAAAAGCTTCTTTAGGAAACGGCAGAGCACAGGCTCCTAACACTTCAGAAGTGCAACTGCAGCAACGTAATTTTGGTGCTTATGTGGTCAGAGGTACATAAACACACTGAATCGCTTCCGAAAGAATGTGACTCCACAAAATAAGATTCAAGTCAAAATTAAGATGACTTTAAGTTCTGAGAAATTTAAGAATCCTGTAGAAGATACACATGCACAAAAGGAGGATGAACTGGGCTTGTGGGGCTTCTCCCAACTTCACTGCCATGTGCATGCTTGCTGCTGCATTGCACCCGATTCTCCTCCATACAGCACAAGCAGTAGAAACTACCACCAGCTTATACAGTTTTTATAAGTATTAGAATTACCCGCAGCTATTTGCCCATAGCCTCTTAGCCTGCAGTCTTGCGCATCCCACCCTCCTCCCCTTCCACTCTGACTTGCCAACTCCTCCTTAAGCCCTTGCTGTTTTGCAGAGAACCGGAGAGGCAGCGCCGTGCCCCCCGGGAGAGGGCATGGCTCTCCAAGGCCCCTCCGGGTTATTACCGGGGCACTTTTCCAACACGCTGGCTGCTGCACAGAGGTCTCTTCTCAAACCTTAGCCCCCTTCTGAGGATGCTGGGCCTCATCCGGGCACACTACAGCCTTGACAGTTAGTGAGCACATAACTGTGTCAGTATACAGAGGGAGAGTAGAAAGGTGACCTTAGTCAAGCTGCATTCCATCTAAAACAGCTCACTACCACAAAAGTATGACAGGAGGACTACAAACCTATTCCTCGTTTGTTCTTCAGAAGTCTTTGTAATCTTAAGGAAAATTCCAGCTCCTGAATCACTCTCCAAACATCTACTGATCTTCCCTCAGAATGCACAGTAACACTACAATTTTTATGTCTCTTTCCTCACATTCTGTCACAAGCACACAGAACGAACATGTGCCTGATGCAAGTTGCCTCGGCGAGCACCCGAGCACCCTTTCCGAGTCTTGTTACAGATCTGACAAGGTGAGTGGGCCTCAGCTGGTCCGAACCAATTTAGTCGTATCACGCTGCAGCCTCTGTACTACATACTACAGACACGTAGATGAGCAGTCAGAATTAGGGAGGACAATCTGAACACATTTGGAGAGAGAGGGGCTAAGGGATTAAGTATCCTCAGCTAATTTGTGTTTAGCTGCATCAAAGACAAGAAGATACAACTTGCAGAAGTTGTATATCATTAACCTTATCACTGTCTATGCCACAATGCATAAGCAAATCAAAGCACTAATTGGAGTAAGTACCAATATTAGGTACCAGCACAAGGCAAACCACATGACCCGTACTTCCCAAAAAACTGCTATGCAGTGAGAAACAGTGAAAGAGCAACATGCCATAGGTAACCAATCACCACAAATTAGCACCGTAATACTCACCTGAACAGCTAAGAAGGCACCCGCAGGCTAATGTCTAGCAGAAGACCAAACACGCAGGTGGCTAGGTTGGTTCCTGTAGTACATACACAGTCTTTGACAGCATTTATGATAAGGCACCATCAGATGCTTGGGTAGGGATCTTACACATCATACAGCTTCAGCTGCCAAGCGTTTCTCGCCCAGCCTGCCGTTCTGCCTTCTCCTCTGCATTCCCAGGGTGGCTCAGGGCTCTGCAGCCCCTCTCCCCCATGCAGCGGGTGCCGTCTGCTCGAGCAGGTGCTTCCTGGCTGTCTGTGTGCTTCTGCTGGAGCGCTGCGCTCTGGTTTGCTGGTATCAGTTCTTAGTTTTCAGCAGGTCACACGTAAGCTAGGACATTGCTGCTTCTCCAACAAACCCTTCAAACCTCTCGCCTTGGACCCCTTCTCCTGCGGTCATCCAAGTTTCTATTTCTGATTGTCCCAGACGCTTTCAGCACATGACATCACATCTCTGCTAAGGCACACTGCACTGTTAACTGGGGATTACAGCATCCCCTGTATCCATGACATCACACTCTACATTACTGCCTGCTTGATAACCAGGGACTCTTATCTGTTTCCTAGCATGGTTACTGCATTAAGCTGCGTTCCCAAATGCATATACGACCTCCTTAATATAGCCATGGGGTCTACTGCGCGACTCCAACCTATTCCTAGGGTAAGTACAGGCAACCACGTGTAAGCAGCCACTGGATTTCATGGTATTCATCCCAAGTGACATCTGGGACTCACTCGCTGTGCCCGGTACCTGGCAGACCTTCC